GTAAGGACCACAGCACCTTCATCACACCATTACAGACCCTGTAAGGACCAGAACAGTCCAGCTGGATCCCAGCTTCTTCATTCACACTGAGCAGCTAGTTTGAACAAAACTCTGAAGTGACTCACCTGCTGCAGCTGGGTGTGAAGCTCCAATGACTTATTAAGGGTGACGTATTTGCTCCTCATTTCATCGATCAAATCATCGCAGCAGTGGCGGAGTTCCTTGCATTTCTCGCGGATTAAATCCTCTGCGTAATGGTGATTGGAAATCAACTGATCTCCTTGTGAGAGCAGGAGCTGGGCGTTTCCAATTAGTTCCTGTTGAGAATACACTCCACTCAGCTTGTGTGCAAAAACATCAACAACACTTTGTCCCACGATAATCAGGCCATCAATTAACTCTGTGAGAGCACACAGTTATACAACACAGGAGACTATTCAGCCCATCATGCCTTGTCCAGGTGTTTGACTATCCAATTAGGGCCACTCCAGCTCTCCAACCCCCATAGACCTCCCTGCAAACATTGCCCCCTTCAAGTACTTCCCCAGACCTCTTTTGAAAATTATTGTTGAATCACTTCCACTGGCCTTTCACCACAGTATGCCAGATTAGAAACACAGAATGTAGAAACAGGGATAGTAGGAACTGCAGATGGTGGAGAATCTGAGATATTTCTGAAGAAGGGTCTAGGCCCGAAACGTCAGCCTTCCTGCTCCTATGATGCTGCTTGGCCTGCTGTGTTCATCCAGCTCTACACCTCGTTATCTCTTATGTAGAAACAGGAGTAGGCCATTCAGCCCTTTGAGTCTGGTCTGCCATTCAACATGATCATGGCTGATCGCCCAACTCAAAACTCTATTCCCACTTTATCCCCTGCTTTTTGATCCCTTTAGCCCTTAAGAATTATATCTAACTCCTTGAAAACATTCAAAATTTTGGCCTCACCACTTTCTGTAGGTTAGGGTTAAGATTAGAATTTACAGGCTCCCCACTGTCTGAGTGAAGGAATTTCTCCTCATCCCAGTACTCGATGGTTGACCTCATATCCTTGGTTGATGACCCCCAGTACTGGACTCCTCGGTCATCAGAAACATCCTTCCTGCATTTACCTTGTGTAATCTTGTTAGATTTTTATAGGTTGCTATGTAACCCTGTCCCCTATTCTTATAAACTCCAGTGTCGGTACACAGCAGTCCCTTATGGCCCATAGACTAGGATTACAAGGGGAGCTGGTAACATCAAATCCACCCAAAAAGGATCCTAGAACCACCAGTTGTGATGCCCCTTACAAGAAAGTGCATGGATAAAGGAAAGACTTCGGGCTTCCAATCCACACAGGCAAGTAGACAAATTGGAAAATTGGGATTTTATAAGAGGAGAGCAAATTACAAGAAAGAAGAGTAATTGGTGACCATTGGTTAAGTATAAGTCGGAGTGTCTTGTGCAGATGTTTTCTGGAGAAGAGATTAAGAGGAGGAGATTGGAATGAGATCATGATACCCATTTGAAGAGCTGTGATACGATAGGCTGAATGGCCTTCTTGTACACTGTGGCACTTGTGGGATTTTGCACAGATGAGATCAGATCATGAAATGCAGCGAGGTGGAACCTGGAGAAGCTGCTTCCTCTTCAGAGAGGGATGTAGTGAATAAAAGCGGAAGGGAGTCACAAAGCAGGTGATAAAAGGTTTGATTGGAATGTGGACCTCTCTGCCATCTGGAAAAATTGAGCCAGAACTGGTAATGAATTTCAAAAGCTTAACAAGTGTTGGGACAAGTGGGAGAATTCTGTGTGGACTTCATATATATATATATATATAAAAAATATATTTATGTGTGTGTAGGATTGAAGGACATGCCTTTGTGCTGTAGTTTGAATGCAACACCAATCTCTACTGAGTACTAGTTGTAGGACTTAGGTTTTAGACTTAGATTTAGACTTTTATTTGTTATTGTGTTTTGAAGTATAAAAGTACAGGAGTACAGTGAAAAATGTATAATGTCATCACGCATGGTGCTATCTCGAGTACAAGTACATAGGTTCAGAATCAAGACAACAATACAGAAAGAACAAAGTTAAAATTTAAATCTTACAGTAATTCTGAGTATTAAGTAGAAAAATATAAAGAAATAAAGCTAAAAGTCAAACATTAAAGTCTCTATTACTTGGCCCTATTCCATCGAACTGGTACAAAAACTTTACCTGAGACTGTTCATCAAAGTTGCTCAGCTCTCGAAGAGCTTGTTCCGAGTGAGTCACATTGTCACCAGTTTCTGGGATATCTCCTCCCTCGGATGCTAAATAATCCAAAGCAGCCTTTACCTGCAGAAGTACATCAAAATGAACACATTCATAACAAGCAAGATGACCAGTCAACGCAGAGGAGAAATGAAAAATTCTTCTCTATTGTTAAGTAATTCAATCCAATCTTTTATTTTATTCACTCACGGGATGAGGGTGTCGATGACCAGGCAGCATTTATTGCCCATCCCTGATTACCCAGAGGGAGGTTAAGAGTCAACCACATTGCTGTGGGTCTGGAGTCACATGTAGGTCAGACCAGGTAAGGATGCAGTTTCCTTCCCTAAAGGACATTAGTGAACCAGATGGGTTTTTCCTGACAATCGATGATGGGCTCATAGTTATCGTTAGATTCCTAATTCCAGATATTTTTATTGACTTTGAATTTCACCATCTTCTGTGGTGGGATTTGAACCCAGGTCCCCAGGATGTTATCTGGATCTCTGGATTAACAATCCAGCGATAATACCACTAGGTCATCACCTCCCATATGTATATAACCAGACCTCACTGCATGGCAGTCCGTTTAAGAATATACAAGCAGGGCTGTTTGACTGACTTAGAAATGATAAGCACAAAATAAAAACTGGGCCATCAGGCTTCATCAAAATTAAGCATAACTGGCTGCACACCTCTTACTCTGGGAACTGTTGTATAAACTGACAAACAATAAAAAACCCAAGGTCAAATATGGCTAAAATATACCCCAGAAAATATCAACAAAAAGTGACAGAAAAGGTTTTGCAAAATGTAAAATTAAAAGGTCACACTTTACAAAAGACTTAACCACCAACTGTTTATTTGATACTGCACAACTGGAGTCAATTTTCCTTAGAATTAACATTCAGGGTACGTGGGTACCATTGTCTGGGCCAGCATTTATTGCCCGTCCCTAGTTGCCCCTTGAGAAGGTGGGGGTGAGCTGCCTTCTTGAACCACTGCAGTCCATGTGCTGTAAGTAGACCCACAACTCCATTAGGGAGGGAATTCCAGGATTCTGACGCAGCGATAGCGAAGGAACGGTAATATATTTCCAAGTCAGGATGGTGAGTGGCTTGGAGGGGAACTTGAAGGTGGTGGTGTTCCCATGTATCTGCTGCCCTTGTCCTTCTAGATGGAAGTGATCATGGGTTTGGAAAATGGTGTCCAAAGATCTTTGGTGAATTCCTGCAGTGCATCTTGTAGATAGTACACAGGCAGCATCAGAGGAGCAGGAAAGCTGACGTTTCGGGTCTTCAGAAATGGGGGAGGGGAAGGGGACTCTGAAATAAATAGAGGGGGAGGCAATAATGGAAGATAGATAGAGGAGCGGATTGGACAGGTCAAATCAGACTCCTGACTTGTGCCTTGTAAATGGTGGACAGACTTTGGGGAGTTCGGAGGTGAGTTATCATAAAGTCCAAGATGGCGGTGGAGTAGGATGCTTCAGTCGGGGTTCATCCGCTCCATCCGTTTCTATTTCTTTTCTTGTTCTCTTTTGTGTTTATTTTCTTCTCTCTTCTCGATAACATCCTGTGCTTCCAGCCTCTGCCTTGCTGGATCCATGCTGTGTCCCAGCCAGGTGTGGCGGCCCCCAGCCAGGTGTGGTCTCAGCATGGAATTCTGGCCTCTAGGTGATTCCAGAGGGGTCTCTCAGCCTCGAGATGAAGCCTAGTGGGGTCTGGAGTCAAGGCTCTGTGCAGACTACAAGCTTGGTGCCAGCGTGGACTGGGTTGGAAGGACTGTCGTTCTGAACTCATTATTTCTCTATTTTCTAATTTACTCCTACAATCTGTAATGCTGGACTTTTTATCTCTTTCTTTATCTGATTTTGTTTTCCTAAGAAGTTACACTGAAGAAGGTCTACCCAGGTACCCTGTACCTAATGCAGTTCTGTAAGTGGCAACTTATAAACTTTTCACATCGTTTGAGTACATGTGATGATAAAGCTAACTCAGTTCCATTCCTTGCAGGATTGCTAGCCTGAGATGCACTTGTAACCACTGTTTATATCGTGATACCAGTTGAGTTTCTGGTCAATAATAATCCCCAGGATGTTGACGGTGTGGGTTCAGTATGATAACACCATTAAATGTCAAGGGACAGTAGTTATATTGTCTTTTATTATGGCTGGTCCAGTTCAGTCTCTGGTCAATGGCGACCCCAGGATTTTCATAGTCAAGACCAATATGTAGTCTTTAGAAGTGAGGAGATGTGAAGCTGGAAGATAATGTGACTAGGGCATACAAGTTGTAATTAATTTCTCAACTTAACTCAAAATGTGTGACCTCATTTTTAAATAATGCTTCAAATTAGTTGATAATTGAGAGAAAACAGTCTGAGAATTGGGGAGGCAGGGAAGTTGATCTGAGGGATCTCAGATGAAACACTGAGGCACTACAGTGACACCACTAGCAGGAGGGTACAGTCACATTGTGACATCTTAACACTGACAGTGTTCATTATAAACCTATAGATAAGCACTTACGATGGAAATTAGATATGGGAAAACAAAAAAGAAGGTATTACGGACAGGAAGTAATGAGCTGAGAAGGACTCAATTGTCTGAGAAAACCTAACCCACAGATGCATGCCCTTTATTGAGCCCACCCCCACACTCAGTCTCAAAAAAATAAGATTCTGCCCTGGAACAACACACAACATTCTGGCTCAGAGGAGAATGTGCTATTCCCCAAGACACAGCTGATAGCCCAGGGAATATCAGACAAAAGCACTGGTGAATTTCACATATTGATCAATTTAAGTAAAGAGTTGATGGGAGCAGGCAATTACCTCTTTGAAAGCTTGTTCAAATCTCCACAGCTGAAGACACTGTTCAAGTTTAAGCAGATGTTTTTCCCAAAAGCCATCAAAAGCCATCTCCATCTCATGCAGCTGGGCGAGGAGCCTGTGTTCAGAAAAGAAAGTCAGTGAGGTAATAAATCAGTGACTCAGTCCTATTTTACAGGGAATTTGTACAACACAGAAACAGCTTCCTCAAGGTAAGAAGGTGTAGAGCTGGATGAACACAGCAGGCCAGGCAGCATCAGAGGAGCAGGAAAGCTGATGTTTCAGGTCTTCAGAAATGAGGGAGGGGAAGGGGACACTGAAATAAATAGAGAGAGGGGGAGGCAATAATGGAAGGTGGATAGAGGAGCAGATAGATGGAGAGAAGACGGATAGGTCAGGGAGGCGGGGATGGAGCCAGTGGAGAGTGTAGGTAGGGAGTTGGGATGGGGGTTGGTCAGTTGGGAGGGAGGGGTGGGTTGGTGGAAGGGAAGACGGACAGGTCAAGGAGGCGGGGATGAGGCTAGTAGGTAGGAAGTGGCGGTGGGGTTTGGTCAATGAGGTGGGAGGAGCGGATAGGTGGGAGAAAAGACGGACAGGTCAAGGAGGCGGGGACGAGCTGGGCTGGTCTTGGGATGCGGTCAGGGGCGGGGAGGTTTTGAAGCTTGTGAAGTCCACATCGAAACCATTGGGCTACAGGGTTCCCAAGCAAAATATGAGGTGCTGTTCCTCCAGCCTTTGGGTGGCATCATTGGGGCACTGGAGGAAGCCCAGGATGGACATGTCATCCAAGGAGTGGGAGGGGGAGTTGAAGTGGTTCGCGACTGGGAGGTATAGTCGTTTGTCATGAACCGAGTGTAGGTGTTCCACAAAGCGGTCCCCAAGCCTCCACTTGGTTTCCCGATGTAGAGGAGGCCACAACGGGAACAGCGGATGCAGTATACCACAGTAGCAGATGTGCAGGTGAACATCTGCTTGATGTGGAAGGTCTTCTTGGGGCCTGGGATGGGGGTGAGGGAGGAGGTGTAGGGGCAGGTGTAGCATTTCCTGCAGTTGCAGGGAAAGTGCCGGGGGTGGTGGGGCTGGAGGGGAGTGTGAAGCGGACGAGGGAGTCACAGAGAGAGTGGTCCCTCCGGAAAGCAGATAAGGGTGGGGAGGGAAAAATGTCTTTGGTGGTGGGGTCAGATTGCAGGTGGCGGAAGTGCCGGAGGATGATGCGTTGAATATGGAGGTTGGTGGGGTGGTACATGAGGACAAGGGGAATTCTGTCTTTGTTGTTATTGCGGGGAGGGGGTGTGAGGGATGAGTTGCGGGAAACGCGAGACATGCTATCGAGGGCGTTTTCGACCACTATGGAGAGGAAATTGCGGTCCTTGAAAAACGAGGACATCATACCTCATCTTCGGAGCAGATGCGGCGCAGGCGGAGGAATTGGGAATAGAGGATCGCATCCTTGCAGGAAGGTGGGTGGGAGGAGGTGTATTCTATGTAGCTGTGGGAGTCGTAGGTTTGAAATAAATATTGGTTTCCAGGTGGTTACCAGAGATGAAAACAGAGAGGTCCAGGAACGAGAGAGAGGTATCAGAGATGGTCCAGGCGAACTTAAGGTTGGGGTGGAAGGTGTTGGTGAAGTGGATGAACTGTTTGAGCTCCTCGTGGGAGCATGAGGCAGCACCAATACAGTCATCGATATAACAGAGGAAGAGGTGGGGGATGGGGCCAGTGTAGCTGCGGAAGAGGGATTGTACACGTATCCTACAAAGAGAGGCTTGGAGATCGCTTTGTGGAGCACCTACGCTCGGTTCGCACTAAACAACTGCACCTCCCAGTCGCGAACCATTTCAACTCCCCCTCCCATTCCTCAGACGACATGTCCATCCTGGCCCTCCTGCAGTGCCACAATGATGCTACCCGAAGGTTGCAGGAACGGCAACTCATATTTCGCTTGGGAACCCTGCAGCCCAATGGTATCAATGTGGACTTCACAAGCTTCAAAATCTCCCCAACCTCATCCCAAGCCCAGCCCAGCTCGTCCCCGCCTCCTTGACCTGTCCGTCTTTTCTCCCACCTATCCGCTCCTCCCACCTCACTCAGCAAAACCCACCCCCACTTCCTACCTACGAGCCTCATCCCCGCCTCCTTGACCTGTCCGTCTTGCCTCCCACCTACCCGCCCTCCCTCCCAACTGATCAACCCCCATCCCGACTCCCGACCTACACTCACCTTTACAGGCTCCATCCCCGCCTCCTTGACCTGTCCATCTTCTCCCCACCTATCTGCTCATCTATCCACCTTCCACTATTGCCTTCCTCTCTCTATTTATTTCAGAGTCCACTTCCCCTCACCCATTTCTGAAGGCTGGAAACGTCAGCTTTCCTGCTCCTCTAATGCTGCTTGGCCTGCTGTGCTCATCCAGCTCTACACATTGTTATCTCAGACTCCAGCATCGACAGTTCCTACTATCTCAACAGCTTCCTCAAGACTGTGTATTAGCATCAGTAATGGAGAAAGCAGGAGTTGTACTGTTGGGACAATCAGTTCTTCAACTGTGTTAGGTTCAGTGTTCTGGGACACTGTGTAATTAGGGAAAAGAGAGCTTTCAAATTAACATAGGGGTGAGAGATCAAGACTGCATGGAATCATAGAATCATACTGCTCAGAAGAGTTCCTTTGACCCATTGAGTCAAAAATATGCTACTACTCACACTAGTCCCAATTTCCCACATTAGATCATTGCCTAAAACTGTTCTGGTCTGAAGAAGGAGATAACAAGGTGTAGAGCTGGATGAACACAGTAGGCCAAGCAGCATCAGAGCAGCAGGAAAGCTGACGTTTCGGGCTTAGACCCTTCTTCAGAACGAATTCTGGAGAACCATTTCTGAAGAAGGGTCTAGACCCGAAACGTCAGCCTTCCTGCTCCTCTGATGCTGCTTGGCCTGCTGTGTTCATCCAGCTCTACACCTTGTTATCTCTGATCTGAAGGGTCACTGGACCCAAAATGTTAACTCTGATTTCTCTCCACAGATGCTGCCAGACCTGCTGGGTTTTTCCAGCAATTTCTGCTTTTGTTTCTGATTTCCAGCATCTGCAGTTCTTTCTGTTTGTTGTCGGATTTAAACAGCACCAGGCAATAATCAAGAAAATGACTGATTGGATTACAGAAGGTGAAGGGCGATGCGATGAATATATTGAGGAATTGTTGGGATTGATGGAAAGGAACTTATTCTGGTCTTGCAGGAATCTTGGAAAAGAGATAACCTTAACATCAGATTCAGTTAATTCAGGGAACACGTCTTCAACACAAAGCGCTGACTAATCATCTTCATTCTCAAGCTGACCGAGTTTTGTTTCCAGACAAGGATAGGAAATGATATGGAGCTGTGGTGTGTGGGTGAAGGTAAGTTACAGATCAACCACAATCTCAGTAAACGATAGATCAATCTTGAGGGGCTGAATGGCCAACTCTTGCGACCAGGATGCCCCCACCCAAAAAATAAAGCTGAAAGCATCTGCTCTCCAAAGATAATGAATGAAACCTAAACTCATTGTCCTTTCAATATCTCTTCCAGAGCACAGATACAGGTACCTTTTCACTGTTGCTCGGTCTCCATCCTTCTCCAACATAAACTGTGCATTACTATCAGGCTCCATGAGGTTGGTCAGGAGTAGGTCACCCTCCTTAATCACCCTCTGAACATCATTCTGCATAGGAAAACAAACAGCAGCGGGGTTAGAAACTTAACCAGAGGTATGGCAGAAGTTTCAAACCACCAGGGCAAGCCAACAACAAATACCTGCATTTAACTAGTGCCTTCAATGGAATGAAACATCCCACTAAGAGCAGGAGAGTAATTATTAAAACAAAAATGAAACTGAACCTCACGGCAAGAAAGGCAGATAAATTGCCAAAACTTTGTGAAAGGAGCAGCTTTTACGATCTATCTTAAAGGCACAGCAATACCAAATATTAAAGAAAGAACATGTATTTCTCCAGGGCACTGCCAATTTGATGGATAGTCACTGTTGCAATATAGGAAACACAGCAGCCAATTTACACAGATCAAGCTCCTACAAACAGATTATTTGTTTATTTAAAAATGCTGGTTGGAGAAAAAGTATTGCCCAAGAGAACAGGGAGAACTCAGCTTTCAAATATTCACCACAGAATCATTTATATTCACGTGAGAGGGCAGGCACGTTCTCAGTTTAAGGTTTCAATGGAAAGTCAGCAAGACGCAAACCTTCTGCAAAGTAGAGAGTCCAAGAAATCCACAATTGCCCACGGATTAGCCATGGGAAATGCAAGGTTACAGGGATAGGTATGTAGTGGATCTGGCCTATTCCTGTTACCCTACATTTCCCATGGCTAATCCACCTAACCTGCACATCTTTGGACTGTGGGAGGAACAGGAGCACCCAGAGGAAACCCACACAGACACGGGGAGAATGCGCAAACTCCACGCAGTCGCCCAAGGGTGGAATCGAGCCCAGGTCCCTGGCGCTGTGAAGCAGCAGTGCTAACTACTGAGCCACCACAGCAGGTTAATGTCCTGGGGACGTGGGTTCAAATCCCACTACAGCAGGCAGCAAAATTTGAATTCAATAAAAAATTCCTATAATTAAAAACTAGCCTAATAGCAATCATGTAAACAATTATCAAATCAACTATCAACTGTCATAAAAATCCGGAGGAGCAGGAAGGGTGACGTTTCGGGCCTAGACCCTTCATTTTCTGACGAAGGGTCTAGGCCCGAAACATCAGCCTTCCTGCTCCTCTGATGCTGCTTGGCCTGCTGTGTTCATCCAGCTCTACACCTTGTTGTCTCAGATTCTCCAGCATCTGCAGTTCCTACTATTTCTGTCATAAAAATCCACCTGGTTCACTAATATCCTTTAGGGAAGGAGATATGTCCTCCTTACCTGGTCTGACTCCAGACACACAGCATTGTGGTTCATTTTTAACTGCCCTCTGAAATGACCAAACAAGGGCAATTAGGGATGGGCAACAAATGGGCCTCACCAGTGAAATGGGCCTCCCATGAAAGAATAAAGAAAAAATAAAGAGCTTGCTGTGCACAAATTGGTTGTTACATTTCCTAATTACGTCTCAAAAGTAGTTCAGTTGCTTTGGAAAGTTCTGACACCATGAAAGACACTGTTAAAATGCAAATCTTTTATTTCCCTTCACATTTGCACTGAATGGGGCTTAAGCCTTTCATTTCAGAGGCAGGAATGTCACACACCATGTCAAGAGTGCCTTTTCAGATCAGGGATCTCATAGAGATTTATAAAATTTTAACAGGACTGGACAGGGTAGACACAGGGAGGATGTTCCCAATGTTGGGTGTGTCCATAACCAGGGGTCACAGTATGAGGATTCAGGGTAGACCATTTAGGACGGAGATGAGGAGACATTTCTTCACCCAAAGAGTGGTGAGCCTGTGGAATTCATTACCACAGGAGGAAGTAATATCTGGAATTAGCCTTACAAGGTTGAGGCTGTTTTCGTTAGAGAGAAGAAGGTTAAGAGGTGACTTGATAGAGACATACAAGATCATCAGAGGATTAGATAGGGTGGACAGTGGCAGCCTTTTTCCTCAGATGGTGATGGCTAGCACGAGGGGACATAGCTTTAAATTGAGGGGTGATAGATATAAGACAGATGTCAGAGGTAGGTTCTTTACTCAGAGAGTAGTAAGGGCATGGAATGCCCTGCCTGCAAAAATAGTAGACTCGCCCACTTTAAGGGCATTTAAATGGTCATTGGATAAACATATGGATGATAATGGAATAGTTTAGGTTAGATGGGCTTCAGATTGGTTTCACAGGTCGGCGCAACATCGAGGGCCGAAGGGCCTGTACTGCGCTGTAATGTTCTATGTTCTATGTTCTATGTTGTGAGGAAAGGTTGGACAGGCTTGGCTTGTATCAACTGGAGTATAAAAGATTAAGGGTTAACTTAAATTAAAACATGTAAGATTCTGAGATGTCCTGACAGGGTGACTGCGGAGAGGATGTCTCCTCTAGTGGGAATATTGAAAACTCAAGGTCTCTGTTTAAAAATAAAGGCTCTCCCATTTCAGACAGATGATGAGAAAACATTTTCTCTTGGAGAGTCGTAAGTCTCTGGAACTCTCTTCATCAAAAGGTGGTGGATAGATTTTTAAGGTAAAGATAGATTCTTGATAAGCAAGGAGGTCAAAGGTGATTGGGGAAGCCAAGAACGTGGAGGTCCCTCGTGGGAGAATCGAGGACAAGAGGGCATTCTCTCAGAATAAAGGACTGTCAATTTAAAGCTGAGATGAGGAGGAATTTCTTCTCTCAGAGGGTGGAACTCCACACAGCATTGAGGTTCACTTTTAACTGCCCTCTGAAATGACCAGACTAGGGCAATTAGGGATGGGCAACAAACGGGTGCAGAGTCCTTTTGTGTATTTAAGGCTGAAATAGATTCTTTATCAGTCGGGGAATCAAAGGTTACAGGGAAAGGGCAGGAAAGTGGACATGAGGAGTGTCAAATCAACCAGGATCCTATTGAACGGTGGAGCAGGTTAGAGGGGCCTAATGGCCTACTTCATTTCCTATTTCTTATAGTCTTATGGATTACTGTTAAAATCAGAGCAGCAGAAAGGCTTAATAAATGACAGAACAGACTTGAGGGACGGAACAACCTATTCCTGCTCCTGATAGATATGTACTGTATGTGTCCAGTCTACACCCAGATACAAGCCATTTGTTTCAACAGGTCTGTGCCAGTATTTATGTTTAACAAGTACTTCCTTCTACCTTCACACAATCTGTCAGGACAATCTTCTAATACTGTTTCAGAGATAGTAGGAACTGCAGATGCTAGAGAATCTGATTGAAGAAGGGTCTAAGCCCGAAACGTCAGCTTTCCTGCTCCTCTGATGCTGCTTGGCCTGCTGTGTTCATCCAGCTCTACACCTAGTTATCTCAGCCTTCTAATACTTCCTGCCTCACATGCTCCTCCTTACCCGTACAGTGAATGAGGACTCTGTACTTTTCGCAGAGTAAATACTGTAGCATTCACATTGTGCTTACCTTGAGCTGATTATATTTCTCAGTTCTGGCGATAAGTAAGTCCTCAACAGAATGCAAGTTATCAGGCAGTTCAGCTTCAGCCAGGTCTGTTCCAAATGCCTGCAGCATCTGAGCGATCTCCTTCACCATCACAGCAAAGCTCTCGATGGCCTGGGCACATGAGCACCGATGCACGAATGAAGCAGATGGGGGCGGGCAACAGTTAGACACAGGTTTCAAGAGAAAACTGCAATTGCTTCCCTCAGAATGTGACCCCCAACCCCTCCATAAACATAATGCTGCCCCTGCCCACAGTGAGCTCAGCTGGCATCTGCCATATTTGATGCTAGATGCGGGTAGGGTAGGGTGATAGGCACCATTAGAGCACAAACAAGGCTTTTTAATTATTCAGAGCAGCAGATTGTGCTGTAAACCGAGCCTGAATCTGACGGAGACAGAAGGAAAACATGCAGGAGAGAGAAAAAAAATAACAGACTGAGGTTTCACCAAAGCCGAAAATACCGTGATTCCCTTATCAAAGAAAAGACAGACTGGCACGAAAACAGGAATTGCTGGAAAAGCTCAGCAGGTCTGGCAGCATCTGTGAAGAGAAATCAGAGTTAACATTTCGGGTCTGGTAACCCTTCCTCAGACTGGCCATTGGAGGTAGTCCAGAGAAGGTTCACTCAGCTGATCCCGGGGATGGAGGCACTATCATGAGGAGAATTTGGGTAGGTTGGGCCTGTACACATTGGAGTTTAGAAGATTGAGAGGTGACCTGATTGAAACATACAAGATTCACAGGGAGACTTGACAGGGGAGATATAACAGTTTAATCTTTTTATTCTTAAACTATTCAAAATGGCACCTGACCATGGCAGCAGTTGAAGCTTTTCACTGTATTTTACTGCATTATTCAGTGTAAAATACACGTTACAATAAATCAATCAAATTTTCAAGATGTGGGAAGGCTGCTTCCCCTTGTGCGAATGTCCAGGAGCAGAGGTCATCATCTCAGAATAACGGGCTTCACATTTATACAGAGATGAGGAGGAATTTTTTCACAGAATCGTAGAATTAATTTGATTTAGAAGGAGGCCATTTGGGCCATCATGTCCTCCTATCAGAGGATGATCAGAGGATTAGATAGGGTGGACAGTGGGAGCCTTTTTCCTCGGATGGTGATGGCTAGCACAAGGGGACATAGCTTTAAATTGAGGGGTGATAGATATAGGACAGATGTCAGAGGTAGGTTCTTTACTCAGAGGGTAGTAAGGGCGTGGAATGCCCTGCCTGCAAAAATAGTAGACTCGCCCACTTTAAGAGCATTTAAATGGTCATTGGATAAACATATGGATGATAATGGAATAGTTTAGGTTAGATGGGCTTCAGATTGGTTTCACAGGTCGGCGCAACATTGAGGGCCGAAGGGCCTGTACTGCACTGTAATGTTCTATGTTCTATGTTCTATCTAGTCCAGCACTACTCCTCTTCAGTGAATCTGTGGAATTCTCCAGAGGGCTGTCAAGACTGGGTCGCTCAATAGAGATAAGGCTGAGACAGACAGATTATTACTCAATGAAGGAAATAAGGAAAAGGCAGGAAAGTGGAATTGAGGATAATCAGGTCAGCCATGATCTCATTGAATGGTGGAGCAGGCTTCATGAGCTTAATGGCCTATTTCTGCTCCTACACCTTATGTTCTTCACCAGAGCAAATTCCTGGAGGTTATATCTTTCAATCAAGTTGCCTCTTACACTCCAGAGACAAGTCTTGCCTGTCCAACCTTTCCTCAAAGTCAGAAGTTTTGTGACACCAGGTTATAGTCCAACAGGTTTATTTGAAATCACAAGTTTTCGCAGCACTGCTCCTTCATCAGGTGAAGTGATCACATCACCTGATGAAGGAACAGCACTCCGAAATCTTGTGATTTCAAATAAACCTGTTGGACTATAACCTGGTGTTGTATGACTTCTGACTTTGTCCACCCCAGTCCAGCACCAGAACCTCCACATCATGGCTACCTTTCCTCATGAGACAACCTGTCCAGTCCAGGTATTAGTCTACTCAACCTTATCTGAGCTGCTTCCTCAAGTCTTTGACTTGATTCATCTACATTGCTGGGTGGAGCATGAAAATCTATAACCAGGTCTAGAAAGAGTTTGGTGATTTTGCTGTTTCTCTGTTGGCATCTACTGATCAAACACTCAATCAATCAGGCTAAAGGACCTTGCACTGATATAACTGCAGGGGTGCATGAGAATTACGAGCTGGGTATACAGTTCACTGTAGGTGCCATTGTTAATTACGTATGGAAGAAATGATGTAGCCCATCCATGCACTAGAGGGTTAGAGGATGAACTTTACATTGAGTTTCATTTTTGGTGTGTATTTTTTGTGAACTGGGAATAAAAACAACAAATTATTTCACAAAATCTCAGTGCATTGTTCTTTGAGAATAAAATAGTGTGAATTATTCGGTTCTTGGCAGGTATTCACCCCGTGTAACTATTTATTGTTCTGTGTTGTTCACCATGGAGCTCAATGTTAAACACCATTGGTGGATTGTGTAGTCTTTGAGAATCTAAACTTATTTGCATCAGTCTGTTTTGGCAGGTCTTTGTTCTATTTATACTGTGATGCTTCAAAGATTTATAAATTTATAATCAGTATTTTGGATTAAGTGGCAGATTGATCTCCTGAAAAATCTCCAAGTCAAGGCTGCTTAGTGTCACACCAAAAAGCACAGATTTATTTTCCCGAGATCACACTTCCAGGATAGAGCCTCCCCAACCAGCAACACACAAATTCTGGGAATTTGTTCCCCGGGGCAAAACTCCACCCTGGAATTTCATAATGCTGACTGTGTAAAACTGTAAGTTGTTGCAAATGATATTAAAATTTTGGTATCCTCAGACAAGTTATATTGTCCCTCCTTTTCTGATTAGCAATCTAAAGCCACTGTAGAGTACGAATACTTGTCTTAATTGCCGAAAATAAGTCAGAACACTGTTAGAATCATGGAGATAAAGAGAAACAGAGCGAGTCAGAGACTGAGAGAGGCAGAGAGATAGAAACATAGGAAGAGGTGGAAGAGACAGAGAAAGGAGGGATAGACAGCACAACACAGGGACAGAAGGACAGACAGAGAGCAAGAGAGAGAGAGAATGAGACAAAGGTAGAGACAAAGGGAGGGAGAGAGGAAAAGACAAAGAAAGTGAGAGGATTAGACAGAAAGAGAGCAAGAGGGAGAAACATCGAGCGAAAGAGAGTGGGACAGAAGGAGAACAAGATTTGTCAAACAAACACCAACAGCAACGAGTCCTAAGAATTATAAAAATGTAAAATAAAGAGATTAAGAATCATGAGTTTTTGAATCACCATGGAAACCATTAGTCATGATTTACTCTCTGACCCAAAATCTATTAACACAAGCACCTGAATCACCCAAAATAGATTCAAGGCATGCAAATATCACACACCATGAGACAGAATTTTACAGTGCAGAAACAGGCCATTCAGCCCATTGGTCTATCCTGGTATTTATGCTACACATCAACCTTCTCCAAACCCATGTTATCAAATCCCATTAACAGATACTTGTGTCTCTGAAAACAAAAAGAATAATTCCTGTGCTATGGATAAAGGATGGGGAGGGAGACTAAGAAGACACCATAGACATGATGGGCCAAGTGGCCTCCTGCTGCTCTGAAAACATTTGGAGTGGAGGGTGGGAGCAGATTGTTCGCCACCACGGAAGGTGATGAGCCCACAATGCAAACATACTGCAGCTACACGCTGAGTGCAATGTCCACCCCTCAGGCACAGCACAGCAGTGGGTGCTGCTGGCATTGCATTCCCAGGTAGAATGTCGATGATCCTGGAACCAGATTATTCCCAGGCTTTTCGGTTAAGGAAGGATTGGGCAGCTGAGAATAGGAGCAAGGGATTGCCAGGCTTCGGAGGCCAGGCAAGAAGAAATGAATGGAGGAGTGACACTGAAGTGGGTGTGACCCTGATGGACACAGTGTATCCCCACCCCCAGCACCAATATCGTGGCCCCTTTTACTCCCAGGTTGTTTTTTGGAACTTTAGATTTCTTGAGGGCTACTTTTGATTTTTGGGGGATACTCTTTGGCTTTCAGGGGCTTCTTTCTTTATTCTCACTAACACCTTCATTAGATGGTGCAGTCAAATTGCAACTTCACCTTTGATATTTGTGTTGACATAGTGGGCTATTTGGACTCAAACAGAAACAGAATTAGAAGAATTCATCAACATCATCAACAATTATCATCATTCCAGCAAATTTAAAGTCACAAAACAGTGAGTGTATTCATTTTCTAAACAACACTGTATTTGATTTGGTACAAGGCAACAGGCTTAAATGAACAAAAATAAATGCTTGTTTTTTTTAAAAAAAATACTGATATACATATAAACACAACTATCCATCACTCTGAATGCTCAAACAAAAGCAAAATCCTGTGAATGCTGTAAATCTGAAACAAACACAGGGAATAGTGGAGAAACTCTGTAGGTCTGGCAGCATCTGTGGAGAAAAAGACAGAGTTAACGTTTCAAGTCCGCAATGATTCTGAAGAAGAGTTATATTGGATCTGAAACGGTATCTCTCTCATGTGCAGATGGGGGTGAGGGTAGGTGTGAGGGTAAGGTAGAGGTGAGGGTGAGGGATGAGGGTGTGGTTGGAGGTGAGGGTGAGCTGGAGGTTACCGGTTTCGGTGCTCTCACATAGGGGACAGGTTAGGGGAGGTGATTTTTGTCAAACAGTGTCCCCTGCACCTACTGAAACATCTCCCCAATAGGAGGGTGTCTGCAAAATCCAGCCCTAGATTGGGATTGTACTTATTGGAGTTCAGAAGAATAAGAGGAAACCTTATATAAATATTCAATATTCTGAGGGGACTTGACAGGATAGGTGTGGAGAGCTTGTTTCCCCTTGTGGGAGAGTCTAGGACCAGAAGGCATCATCCCAGAGTAAGGGATCACCCAGTTAACAGGGAGATGAGAAGGAATTTCTTCTCTCAGAGGGGAGTGAATCTGTGGAATTCCTTACCACAGACGGAGTCACTACATATATATTCAAGGACGAGATAGTCAGATTTTTAATCAATAAGGGATTCAAAGGTTGTGGGGAAAATGCAGGAAAGTGGAGCTGAGGATGAGCAGATCAGCCATGATCTCATTGAACAGCA